AGAATAAAGAAAAATGGTGAAAAGAAAACTAAACACTAGAAATCAAGGAGCAAAAGAAAAACATAACAGAAACAGAAACCTAACAAATGATAAAGGCACACCGTGTACTAGGGGCCACTAGGGGCGCTAGACCTGTAACTTTTCCTCGAACTGTTTCACGTTTTCTCTTTTTCGCCTCAGAAGGTTTAATCTTTTTCTTGCCGCCTGGTCGGCTGCTGCCATGACCAGCAGAGGAAAATTATTGTTTTTAATTTTGACGCTAAATTCATTAAATCGCTGCAAACGTGTTAGTTTTAGGTATCAATAATGATCCATTGATTACTCCTTGCTGAACAGACTTTTCCTTTAAAATAAATCATATGCATCAACTCTTTAGGTGACAAAGTCTGCGCTGCATCTTTAAAATTTGTTCAGTTTTATTTCTGAATTCTTTTCAAATTCCAATTTTTAAAACATGTTCTTTGCAACAAATTTCCCTCCTTAAAAAAGAAAGCAGTCTGACTGAAGAATATCTATGTCTAATTCTAGACAAGATAATTTCACTGTTTGGAATTTTCTTTGCTCATTTCCTAATTTTGTTGAATCAACTCTTTTAAACGTCGACATCTTTGCTTCACCAGCAGGTTTGGTGGATTTGTACGGAAGAGGATTAGGGCCACTGGAAAAAAAAAACAAGTTAACTGATTTTTAAATTTTATTTCAGTCTAACATGGGAAAAAAGTCAGAATTCTGAGTTTTTCTCAGAATTTTCTCAGAATTCTGACTTTAATCTCAGAATTCTGTTAAACTGAAATAAAATTAAAAAAATCAGTCAACATTTTTTTTTTCCAGTGGCCCTAATCCTCTTCCGTAGATTTGATGGATTCTCCTCTGTGTTGATATTTACTGAGCTTCTGTTCAGATGAACCAAAGAGGTGATTTTTGTTTTTTGCAGACTGTGTTGGATGAGAGAGACACATCCGGCCGGCTCAGCGATCGGATCTGGGATGTGGCCCGCTGGAGGGACGCCTTGGAACGCTGCGCTCAGAGGGTGGATGAGGAGATGGAGGCTCTGACTCTGGTGATTGGATCAGAAAGCGATCTTAGATCCGCGTTTCCAGATCCTTCTCTCACCACATGTGCTCTGCGTTTAGTCCAAAGAGCAGAGCGAGCTGGCCCTGGCCGCCACCGCCGTCCCTCTGGAGGTCAGCCATGAATGCCTGACGCTGAGGGAGGGGCGGCGGGGCCACGACCTGGTCAGGGACCCCGTGGAGGAGCAGCTGCAGAAGGAGGTGGAGCTGATTGAGGAGGTGCAGCAGCGTCTGCAGAAGAACATCGATGGAGCCTTTGAGCAGCTGTGGTGAGTCCTGCTGTGGATCCAACGTAGATCTGGATCTTCTCCTTCTGATGGCCCCTCCCTCCTTCACCCCCCAGCGTTCTGCAGGAGGTTCGACAAAAGCTGACCTCTGACCTCCAGAACAAGATGGAAGCGCTGAACATCGACATGTCCTGCCTGTCCCTCACCGTAAAGTCACCTGACATCTCGCTGAAGACCAACCCGACCCGGATACCTTCAGGGTAAAACCGACATTCCGCGGTTTAACATTTCCAAACCCGTGATGCTCAAACTGATGAAACGCCCTCATCCATGCAGCTCCTCCAACCCGCAGGAGTGGCTCCAGTTCAGCCAGTATAACGTGGCTCGTGCCAATGAGGCCCTGAGCGTGTCCCAGCAAACGAGAGTGGACATGAGGCTGAGTAGAGCCCAGGTGGGTGAGATCTTCTCTCTGCTTCAAAACCCTAGATACCCAAAGGGACACCAAGAGCAAAGGCACCCAGGAGGGAAATC